TAAATATCTTTATTAAAATTTTCTTAAGTGATACATATTATTATAAATTTAACAATGTTTTCTTTGTCATCACTAAAAGCACTATTAACCGAGAGCGTTTTATTTTTGGCTAGTTATCGTTATCCTCTGAGCATTTTTCTGCATTATTTTCAGATTCATGCTTTACCTTTTGCAAAAAGTGTATGTAATTTTAGATTGCTTGCTTCTAGTTAAAATATCTTTATAAATTTCCTTATATGGTGCTAAGCACTTATGGAATAAGGGAAAAACATCTGGCAACACAGAATGCAGAAGCGTCGAGATCTGGCAAAATTGAAACAATTTTCGCGAAGGACCATGTGTATGGAGACGAGAAAAGAAAATTTACACACTGAAGTACTAATAGTTTACAAAAATAATAATTTTTGTGAACTATTAGTACTTAAGTATGTAAAAATTTATTACATTTCATGTTGTACGAGGGTTTTACCCATTTCTCGAACTGTGTTAGAGCGAATCCGTGCTATAGAAGTGCTGTGTTATACGGAGGTTACCTGTAATGCTAGGTATCTAAAAGATTTATTATACATTGAATCTTTTAAATATTATAATTATATTAAAAATAAATTCTATCAACTACAGGAACAACTATAAATTATATTGCAGCTAGTGGGACTCATTTCTTGTATTCTTTTATAAATTTTGATATAACTGAATATATATGAATATTGTGTAACATTGATTTTTGCTTGTCATAAAACAAGAATCAATATTTCATCAAACCTTACTTAGACTTAAAGCAATGATATTTAATTTATTCTAAATATTAAGAAAATATCTAGTGTTGTCTTGCACTTACTCATCTTTTTCATAGCATGGATAGGGAAACTGCTGCATATAAGATGATGCAGATATACTCATATTGTAATCTGTTTGTATAATAGTGATTGCTTGATCTACTAACTCCTGCAATTGTATGAATCCACGAAAATATCTAAGCTCATCTAAAAAGTTATCTCTAGGACCTGGTTTCCAAAATCTGTAATTAAAAAAATATTTTTTTAGGTTTAACTTATCACTGAATTGTCAATTAATATATAATTGAAATTTTTGTAAAACTTACTTATCACGAATTTTGCGTGTAGATGGTATATTATCTATATCCATTCTTAGTTTATATTTTATATGTGATGGCAAACGACCTGTATTCTCAACATCCCTTTTTTCTCTAGTTTCATTTATATTTAAAAATACAATAGCTAAAACATTAAAAAATATAAATAAATATTTTCACAGAATATAAAATTAAAACTATACAATAAATTAAAATAAAAGAAAGCAATACCAGCAATAAATTCTCTTCTTTCGTGCAAAACTGACGCTGCTTTTTCTAGTTCAAGTTCATTATCAAATCCAACGAATCTATTAAGTTCAAAACACTGCGACATATTTCCAACCAGTTGTACTAAGTCAAGAAGTCCGCTTACATTACTGATTTGATTTCTAAGTGAAGCAATATTAAATCCTTTTAATATATTACTAGCATCATCACCAATAACCTGAGAAATCAGAGGCTGAACTGCATCTGATTGAATCAGTTTCTGCAAAATATAGAAAACAAAAAATTAAATATTTCAAAATTACAAATGTACAGTTGATTAAATGTTATTAATATTTTCTAACTTTCATTTTCTCAAATTTATGTTCATGTTTTTGCAAATATTGTAGTCCACTTGTTCCTTCTCCCCAAGCATGTAATATATCTATAAATCTTGTAATAGAATTAAAGGTTCTGTTTAGCTGTAAAAAAAATCAAAAATTTTAGAAGATTTTAGCAAGTTTCCCAATTTTAAATTATTAATTGTTTTATACAGCCTACCTCTTTCATAATTAACTGAGTTTTTATGTTGTTGGGAGAAAATAAAATTTTTCCTCGTAAGATTGGCTTAAAGAAACCCCAAACAATAGGTCCTCCTACCATATTCATAACTTGCTCGTATCCGTGTTGACAGAAAACACCTTTAAAATAAAGAAGAGAATGCAACAGAACTGCCAAAAAAAAGTTTCTGTTTCATGGATTTTGTATTGCTTTTTTAACTTAGTAAAATTTAATAAAATTAATTATTTAAAAATTTTTCCTTCTATAAAAAAAATCTTAAACTTCAATTTTAAACTCGTGATGCATCTTAGAATTGAGGAAATATGGTATTATGTGATTTTTATTAAAATGAAATAAAAAATATCATACTTGGTAGTTCTTCCAAATCTCTTTTATCCAGTTGAGGTGCACTATGAGAAATTTGCAAGACGTTAAACTCATCTTGAAGTGTTTTCAGAGGCTTACCGCATAAAATTTTTCCAGATGCTTTCAAAGCCTGAGGTGCTAAAATACATTGTATATTAATGACAACTGTTTAATAATTTATATTTTTAATTATTTTTTTAATTAATAAAGATTCATTTATGATTTATATTTAATTTTAAATTAGTAAACAGATTAAAAATAGTTGATAAGATATAAAATTATTTATATCCTATTCAAGAAAATGGAAATTTTAAATAATTATGGTACAAAATGCTCACTTCCCAAAACACGAATTCCATCATTTGTAACATTTAGCTGCATTAAATGTTCTCTAAATTCGGGATCCAATGATTTCGTTAATTCTGAAATGTGCTGTTTTATTTTTGGTATTATGGAGGGTGCCAATTTAAGTATATTAATTGTATTTACAGCTTCATCCCAACTTAAACCTGCTCTTTGAATTAAATCTTCAATTCCCAATTTTGCAAACTGAAAAATGCCAATTTATGGTTATTGATATAGTTTTAAAAAACTTAAACATAAATATAAAAATAAGTCTCTCTTTTTACATTTCCAATTATGCGTGATAATGCGAGTTCTCTAAGCAGTATAGTTGATGCTTTAACAGCTTGAGATGCAGAAATGCTGCACAGTGTTGTACTTATTTCCTCAATAGTAATATTTGAATTTTCAACATTTAATAATTGTTTCAATTCAGCTGGATTGCAAAAAATATCTTTAGCAGTTGTTGGATTTTCATTTGCTAAAAGCTATAAAATTATTTAAAAAAAATTAAATTTATTCCTATGCTTGAACAATAAATACATTAATTTATTTTAATAAATTGTACCACAGTTAAGTCTAGATTGGCATTCATAACAGATTCCACAGCATCGTCATCAATTGCCAGATCTTTTTTTAACAGTTTCTTTAATGAGTTTGGATCAGAGAAAAGGTCTTGAACACGATCTATTCAAAATATGAAATTCAAATTAATAAAAAAACTTTTTTGAGGTGATTTAACATCAACAAATATTTTATAAACTTACATTTTATATCAAATAAATGAANTAAAAAATATATAAAATTATGATATAAATTGCTGAAAATATTTATACTAAATATGTTTTAATATTAAAAATATTTATTTATTTACCTTTATTATTTCATCTGAGATAATCTGTTCTTGCAGTTCAGACAATAATAATTTTCCATTTTCAGAACAGAAAAATGCATTAATTTCTGATTTATTAGAATTAGATGGAAATATAATAACATCTTGATGGATATTTTTACAGAACAATTCTGAAAAATTTTCTGTTAACAAATTATTTAGCTGGAAAAAAAGAAAATAAAATTTAAACTTAATGTTAACTCAAGTTAATGGAAATTAATTTAGAATAAAAAAAATGTATGGTGCATTCAAAAATACAGAAAAAAATTATTATAAATGTAAAATTTGTTTTAATTTTCATTGATTTTAAAATAATTAATTTTTATAGTATTTCTTATCTACTGTTGGTTTTGTTGATTTTAATTTAAGATGCTTGTAAAAGGCCAACCTGGACACAGTGTCTTTTTGAGAAATAAATAAGTAAAAAAATAAAAATACTGTAAAAAAATATACAGTCAAACCTCTGAACAATGGCCATTAATGAAGAACATAAAAAATGGGTATTGTTTTATGGTTATTTTGTATGCATTTCAAAAAAAAAACATTTTTGAAAAATGGCTGCTATTTAGAGGTGGCCATTATTGGAAATTTGCTATGGTATATATTCATAATATCTTGAATCCTTTCAAGAATGAAAAAATTTTTTTAAAACATGATTCTATAAACAATTTCATATTCTAAAAAACAATTTGTAATTTCATTTAGTTTTCTTTTGTATAAGCCATTTCATATCATTATTCAATACAATGTTATAACTGCATCTATTTTTCAGCTGCAAATCATTGATTTGATACAGATACATTTAATAATTGTTAGAAACAGTACTTAGATTACTTTTAATTTATTAATAAATTTTCAAATGAAATTATTGTCTGCAAATTACTATACTTGAAGAAAAAAATTTTATTAATTCAAACAAAAATCAATTAACTAGAAGGTAGGAAATGACATTTAGTAAAAATAAAAACTTCAAAAAAACTTATTTTAACAAAGTTTAAAATAAAAAAAACTTTGGTTTTAAACTCCATTAAAAAAATATTTTTGCTTTTTTAATTTTAAATTAGTGGGGTCATTGAAACAGTTTTTCCTATATATATGACCACACATTTAAAAATATTTCATGAATTAGTTAGACAGAATTTTAATGTAGATTCAATAAATTACATGAGCTAATTATATTACATGATAATAAACCTAGTTAATTAACAGTGAATTAATTATCACTGTAAATTAATTTACAGTGAGCTGATATCAGACTAATAGATAAATTAAAAGAAAAATTCAGAGATGATAGCAATATGAGATAAAATTTATCAATTTTGTTAATGCAAATAGGACAAATTACATAACTCAAAAGTTAATTTGGTTTTATGGATCAATCAAATACAAATCACTTTTTCAGCATATTTTGTATTTTAAAATAATTTTTCTAAATAATGCTAAAGTTAGATCTATAAATTATTTCTGAAAAATATTTTCTTATTAACAAATAGTATTATTATTATATTTAACATTTTTAATTGATCATATTAATAAGATTAAGATGTAATTGAAGAAATTAAGCTAATTAAGAATTTAAGTGTGAGTAGTTATTCCAATAAGCTTAAAAATTTATAAAAATATGAAAATAAAATACCTTATCATATTTTATTGTTGAATTCAATATTTGAGAAAAAACTAATTGGTTTATTGATTCAGTGTGTCTTTCCAAATTTTTCATTCTTGTTGAATTTTTCAGAAATGTTATCAAAGAAATATCATCTGTATTAAAACAATATCAATTATTATAATTTGCTAACATAATAAAAAATGAATAAATTTATTAAAATAAAATTACTAAATAAATTATTTAAGCTATTCTATATGCCATTACTAGTTCTTTATGTAGATTAAAAAATTTATATAGAAAATCTTTAATAGTTCTAAAAATAAAATTTTCAAATAATAGTAATAAAGAGATTAATAAATATAGACATATTAAAATTATACTTCAGAAATCTGCTGATCCATCAACAAATATATGGAATAAATGAATCAATTCTGTGTGAGTGCTTGTTGTCAGACACTTCATCATATCACTAATACATTGTATTATATAGTCCAGTTTGCTTATAGTGATCAGATACCCCAAATTAAGTAAGATAGCATATTAATTAAAATTAAAGCTATAAAAAAAATGTCCTGCTTTTGGATTGTTTCATAACTATATACAAAAATAGCCAATATTCCTTTCATAAATTGTAAATCAAAAGGTAAATAGTATGGTATACAAGCTACAGCATAAAGTTTTATCCAATTTATTGAAACTGCAGCCCAATTGCAATTGTAGTCCAACAGACAGTGACAGATTTCTTGCCCAATCTGTCACTGTCTGTTGGAGAAGAGTGAATGTATACCACATGCAGTCATGCAAAGCAGTTATAAAAGTGAACAGATAATTTTTACTAATTATCTGAGTTAAAAAAGATAAATCACTATTTTAACTTTAATAAGAACAATGAAAATTTATGATGATTGTTGATAATTCTGTATTAGTATTTGGCAATTGCTTAATTGTGGTAAGTCAGAAATAGTACATTTATTCAATTCTTTGTACTTAAATTGTTTTTACTTTCTCTTTAAAGGTTTCAATACACATTTTTGTATTTTTCTTTTACTATCAATAGAGAAAACAAAGCTATGCTCAGAATCCTACCTAACTGTCCATTGTTGCTAACACCATAGATCAATATTTTGTAAACAAGACAATATGGATAAGTAAAATGTTCATTGGTTGTTTGTAAGTTTGTCATCAATGATGTCAGAGGGCTAGAAATGATGACTGTAAGTTGACCAGAATCAATCATGTGACTCATCTGATGTCACATTGAAGCACACACAGCCCAATGTCATGCGTTTTGTGTTTCAAGATCTGGTCACTTTAAGTTTATCTGTCCTAGACAATACATAATAATAATGCTTTTGAACAAGTTGATAAAAAGCAGACAATGTGTGGAAGATGTGCTTGAAGATAATGACAAAAAAAATTAGAAGATAAGATTGATTTGGCTGTATTTATTTCATTTTCAAGTAATATTTAATTAAATATTTTATCTGTAATTAATATATCAGGAATTCTTTTTGTAAATAATACCCCACCAAATTTGGAGATGTCCAAAACTGGATTAGAATAAAAAAGAAATCAGGTCTACTAGAAGAAGACTTCTAAGTCTAATCTGTTAAGATTAATTGAACACAATAGATTGGTATATGACAGTAAAAATGATGCTACTCTCTATACAATTGATGTTTTGAAGATAAATATTGTAGATTTGAGAGAAACAAATTAAAACAATAAGAACTATACAGAACTTGTAAAAAAATATTAATAGGAAGATTACAAACTTCCTATCATTTGGAAGAAAAAACAGAACACAAATTGAGCAATGAGAATAGTGTGAGCTACAAAAGAAGAATATCATCAACAATACATTATAGCATCATTAAACTACAAGCTGCCACAGCATAGTAAAACAGCAAGGCATTAAATTCAGAAGTCAATTACCCAACCAATTCCACTGGCAATTGACTAGCTTTTCCTTGTCCAATATTATATTTTTGACATAGTTTTTTGCTTCACATTTTCAATTTCAATTCTGATTTTCTTCATTTTTCAATCAAAACATAGATGGCATGTATTATCAGCTTTTGTCATGTGTTTACTGTTTATAATAAATAATCCATCTAGATTCATAGAAGCAATTACTTGTTTAAACCAGCTTACCCTCCAAACAGACATGTTTGGATATTGAACAGCTTGCCCTCCAAACAGACATGATTCCTTAAATAATATTATTACTCTATATATATATATTATGTTGTAATGGATAAAATTTTATTTGTGTTACCCTCCAAACAGACATGTGTTTTGAGGGTAACACAAATAAAATTTTATCCATTACAACATAATATATATAGAGTAATAATAATATTTAAGGAATCAGAAAAAAACCAATCATCATCTAGCAAAGTTTTAAGAATGTGATTTGAGGTTGTGTGCATATTTGAGGTGGTTGGGCTGTCCTCATTTTGAAGTTTCACAATATGGTGTCCATAGTGTATAGTACTGTAGTCAACTTAACTTAAACTGCATTTCTTATAAACCAGGTGTGTCCAACCCACGGCCAATAAACGTGTAAACAAAACCAACACATTCTTTTATTTTGTTTTATTTATTTCAACGGCATAAACTCAATAAAAGAAGTTTCACAAAGCCATAAACCTTTATACATATTTTATTTTTGAGTGGAAAAGAAATATTTTCAAACACTTGAAGAGTGTGAATGAGAAAGAAATAATAAATAAAGTTGGAGTTGTGACTCAAAGAATTATAGACCCAAATTTGGAGAAAGGAGAGAAAGGCCAAAAGATAAAAAGTAGTGAGAAAGGTTAAATAGACTTTCTGTTAAGCAAATAAGGACCCTTAATTTTCCAACCTTCCTCACTTCTTTATCTTTTGTCCTTTCTCTCCTTCCCCCGCATTTGGGTCTATAATCCTTTTCAGTCCCAACTCCAGCTTTATTTAGTATTCCTTCCAGNTTCTACTTGAAATATATTCTCAAGTATAAAATAATATTGCACAACAAAATATTCAAAGTATTTGAAACTTTTGTACCATATTAATTATATCATGTAAGTATTTATGCAAAATATATTCTATATTTATTCTTTCTAAATTGTTGAAATACATGCATAATCTGCCAATATTAACAAATTTTATTTGTGATTTTTTGTAAAAAGCTATTTTATGAGTGCCTAAATAAAATTAATTTTTATGAAGATTAGCAGACTAATATGATACAAATATTAAATTTTTTCCTATATTTAAAACTTCCCTTGGTTAATTTGAATCATGTAGCATTTGATATTGTAAAATTAAAGCTTTTAATCAGATAAAGCCAGTAATGTTTGTAAAATAAATATAGAAAAAAGAAATATTACCTGGCCATACATTAGAAATGTACCATCCCAGCATAAAATAGATTAAACTTCCAACAAGCATCATAACTATGGCTAAACCAAATGACATCTCATCTCTGGGATCAGGACTGGTCCAAAAATTTTGCCACTGTAATCCTACACCTTGATCTTCATATCGTGTGATATATACGCAACCATAACAGAATGATGTTGAGACCATCAAGCACTATTAGTGGAAAATAATAATAAGAAAATTATTAGAAATAAAACTTTTTATTATAAATAAATGATCTTCAAAATCCATGGAAGGCAAAATAATGTTGATGCATTACATGAATTTTAAAGAAATTAAAAACTCTAGAATTAATTTTATTGATATGAGGAAAAGTACAAAAACATCCTGATTTCAATAATTTTTTATTTTATATTATCAAAACACTGTAAGAAGTAGGAAGAAAACTCACCTCTTCAAGAGTAGTACTAGATAATCCATAACTACCAAATCCAAGCTGATTAAGATTGGAATCTAAATTTGTAAAAAAGCTGGAAAAGTTGTAAGGCATTCCATCAGGTGATCTTTGAGGCAAACTTAAAACAACTTCAGTTCCGTGGTCTTCCATGAGAGTAGCAGTTGGAATAATGCTTTGAACAAAATTAAGCAGTCCGTCCGTGTCAAATCCAATGGCTTTAGACAATTCAAAAAAATATAACATGTAATAATTGTCTAAAATGTTCCATTATATAAGTCCAATAATTTATTTTTACCTTCTCCTTCAGAACAAGCAGAAGAAGCTCTTCCAGAATCACTATCACGGTCTGTATCTGAACCTTGTCTGGATAAAGTTAATTGATAACCACAGCCAAATTTACTTTTGAGTAACAGAGGAGAGCCAGAACATAAGAGTTTTCCCTAAATAAAAAAAAAGACCATTCAGTTTATGTATGTATTGTGAGTATAGAACTATAAGTGGCTAACTCAAATATATTATTGAAAAATTGCAAAATTTAAATATGTTCTATTTGAGACCAAAAACAGATGTAAAATATATCAAATAATTACATAAAATGGAAATTTTTGGTGACTGATTGCTCACCAAAATATTTGATACCTTTGGTTGGTCCAATTTTCAAATTTATTTTTACTGAAAATTATGATTTCACACTTTGCCACTTATGGTTCTATATCTGCACAACATATATAATATTAACAAAATGTTATTTTTCTATCATTCTTTATCTCTTTATCATCATTTTTGTGAATATTGTATGTATTAATTTTGAACTGTCTGAGAACTAAAAGTTTAATACTCAAATAAAAATACATAGAGAAGTATGCTTACTGAAGTTTATATATAATATTCTAAGGTGCTCTAGTCTGTCTATATGTGATAATTTTAATTGCAAACCATAGTGGACTGATATGTTGTTAAGTAAAATATTTACTCTTACATTTTTTTTTTTCAAAATATTAATAAATCTTCTAAACCTAATATTCAATATTACATTACATTATTGAAACTTCTATTGCTTACAGGATTTAAGGAAGTAATTAAGAAAGGTACAGCTATGTGATCTTACTTAAATTGTCTAAATCAATAATATATTATAATACCGAATATTAGGGAGAAGGAATTAACATCAATAATAATTGTAATAATTCATCTTAGAGACATTTTAATAATAATAAATGAAATATTTATTATAGTATACCATACAGGTGTTTTATTATAATTTTCATTCAAATATCAAACTCTATATTACTTGTGGTGATAAAAAAAAAAGCTTTTAAAGTGATCTAAAGAACAATTAATAATAGAAATAAATTCAAATTAAATACTTATTTAATAATAATAGAATTATTTGATTAGTTATTTGAATTAGAATTATTTGAATTATTAGTAAAATTACAGTATGTATAATTTATTGTTATTTTTATATTGAAACATATCATTTAGTCACTGATAACAAATTTTCTTCTTTATTTATTAGATAGTTTGTTCTTTATACATTTTGACATAAACAAATGCATGTAACTTTCTGGGGATAATCCTCTCATCTGGAAGGAGGTCAATGACTACTATTGGTGAAATTAACTTCTACTTCCTGCTTGCAACAAACAGACCCCCTTTCTATTCTGACCAGCCAGATGGTTACTTAATACAAAGTTACCAGTAAATGCATAAAGTGTCTTTGGAGATTTTTGAGGTTGCAGAGTTTGAATATTTGTTCATTTTTCATGGAATTTAATTGGTTGGCTGATTACCATTTCAAATTCAGCTGCGAATGGTATGTTAGTGTTAGCATTAGAAAAAATTTGGATGTCTCAAATTATCTTCTTGTGCAGGTTGAAGTCAACAACTGACTATTTTTTGTTGAAAAACATCAATTCCTGTCTATATATCAACATCGCAAAGCCTGATGTATTGATACTAATCCAAACTCTTGCTGTAATTAATCGGGCTATTATTATGCTATAATTAATAATAGCCTTATTACTTACAGTGAAAGTTTGGATTAGTATCAATTCCTGTCTATCTGACCAATAAAATTGCACTATTCCATGCCATCCAAGTACTGTGATAAACATGACAGTAGTAAGCTAAAATAACTAAACTCTTAATATAGTTTTCATTTTCATATTTGTTGTTCTTATTTTTTATCTAGACAATGTTAATGTGGGCATCAACCCACCCTAACACTGTTCATGATGTCAAAAGTCATTTGTTATGTTAATTAAAATAGAAATTTTTATTGATATTAATAGTAATTTATAACTTTTTTTTTTTTGCTGTATCCACTTGGTAATTCTGATTCAAATACTTCCCATACTCCTCTTTGAAGTTATGATGCCAAGGCAAGGTATAAAGATAAATTTACATAGAAGTTGGGTGATCTTTAGTATCAATTACTCACTAAGGCCCATAAATACTTTATTCTCTTCAATAATTTAAAAATACTTACTCGATGTATAATTGCAACACGATCACTAAGAATATCTGCTTCATCCATATGGTGAGTTGTAAGCAGAATTGTTCTTCCTTAATGAAAAAATTATTGAATTCTTTCAGTTAATTAAATTAGAATATAAATTTTAATAAAAATAAATTTTCTACTTGAAATATATTCTCAAGTATAAAATAATATTGCACAACAAAATATTCAAAGTATTTGAAACTTTTGTACCATATTAATTATATCATGTAAGTATTTATGCAAAATATATTCTATATTTATTCTTTCTAAATTGTTGAAATACATGCATAATAATATAATTTTTAATATTTCAGAAGAGATATGAATTACTTGATTAATTTATTATTTATTTCATAACAGTCTGAGTTATTAATTCTTTCAAGAATAATTTTGCCTTGAAGAGCAACATAAACATTATCATCATCATGATTAAGTTTTTGTATTAAATCATTTGTAAATATTTAATGCACTACAGTGGTACCTCAGGATACGAACGTCCCAGCATACGAAATTTTCAGGATACAACATGAAATTTGAACATAATTTTGCTCCACAGTACGAACAAAAACTCACCATACGACGTTATATTAGTTTGCAGTGCCATTTTTTATTCACTTCTGTTCATTGGTCTCAGTCTGTGTGTTTGCTTCGTCGTGGAAGGATCTCGCTTGATAAAGGAAATCTTGAGGTATTATTAGAAAGTGACTGATTTTATTGAGAAGAAACATCCCAA